AAGACCAACCTTCTGCAGTTGAAGTAAACTTCCAACTTCCCATAGCAATTTTAATAATAGCGCATATATCTTAGTGTTTTCACTGACTGCTTAATTCAACTAATTCAGTCTACATCTCACCCTCATTTTACCGTGTTATAATAATCAACCGGTGTATGAATTACAAGATTGATTAAAAGCTGCTCGGAGTCAAGTAATTTGCATCAACGGTGCCAGAAGCCTTCAACAAATCTGCTACTGAGCAGTTAATTAATATGTACAGCTCTTTTGTGAGTCCATATTTTGTGTTGCAAATTAATCAGGCATTGCAAGCCACTTGTCAATAAATAAACTGTGTTTCTCTGTACACCTTTTGAGACCTTCGGACAAGCAAAATCAATGGGGAAACCAGATTCACTTTACAACTGTGTTACTAATTCAACAACTGCAGGGATTCACTTAACAAATGAGGCAAGAAAAGTTGTAAAGTGGAGCAAAACTCACTTAACAAATTTCTTACATAGCATATAAATGTTGGGCTTAATTTTAGTTGTAAGTTGAGGACCTCCTATATTATGTCTTAAAAGGGTGTCATTTGCACCTTAGCAAGAAACTATAAATGATAGAGAACATCCAGTGGTTGCTAGTATCCACTCCCAGAACACCAAAATCACACCACCAAGATGTTGTCATCACTGGCAATTCTTCCTCACTGCCACCCCCCGTATGAAAATGGGTACAAGGGGCTTTTGCGAAGTAAACTGCTTTCCTTTCCATGTTTTATCACCCTCCCACAAATCCTTCAAAAGGTCCATAACTTCTCAGCTCTGTCCTTTACAAGCTGCTTCTTCTTTGATTAAAGTTACTCTCTGCTTTTGATGAATAAGCGCATTAAAAGCTGTTCACGCCAACACACCCAATCAATCAATTCAATTAACAATCAACTAAAGTGCTCAAAACCCTGGATCCTATGTGTTTAAAAATTTATGGTTTCCAACCCACAGTAATGACTTTAAGACTGCATTTCTAAAGCATCCTCCTTAATGAAGAAGCTTAGCAAATATTGTGGACCTCATAAAATACTTATAGAACGTCATCAGTCAGAACAGAGAAGGTAATGGGAACTTGAAGGTGGATCAACATAAGCCAAAATCTGGTCCAATGTTTGGTTTGCCCAGTTGCCAATCGGGTGCAGAAAGTCCCCAAGGAAGTCAACTGATCTGAGAAGTTCATTCTGCTAACATAATGAAAGAATAATAGAGTTGGAAGGGACCTTGGAGATCTTCTAGTCCAACCCTCTGCTCAAGCAGTTTGTTCATACTGAATTTTTAATTGTAAACCTCCACTCTCCAATTCTCTCTCCAATTTAGTGGCCTTATATCTCTTTTACATCATAGTTATCATCATGCAGAATACAGAATAACAGAGTTGGAAGGGGCCTTGGAGGTCTTCTAGTCCAACCCCCTGCTCAAGCAGGAAACTCTACACCATTCCCTGACAAATGGCTGTCCAATCTCTTCTTGAAAACCTACAGAGATGGAACACACACGGCTTCTGGAGGCAAGCCAGTGAAGGAACCACTAGTTAATTGTTCTCACGGTCAGGAAATTTCTCCTTAGTTCTAGGTTGGCTCTCTCCTTGATTAGCTTCCATCCGTTGCTTCTTGTCCTACAAGGTTATTATATTCTCTGAGCTTGCTTGTTTTCTTGCCGATGTTTCATTACCCTAACTAGGTAACATCATCAGTGCTGGAAACCGATGAGGTTACCTAGTTAGGCTCATGAAATATCTGTAAGAAAACAAGCCAGCTCAGAGAGCACAAAGGACCCCCCCCCCATTTCAACCCTGAGCTACGAATATTCTCCTCCAAAGGTTATTATACAAATCTAATATTTCCCCCTTCCCTTGCATTAGGATTGGCTCAAAGAGCGTGATCTTCGGGATACCAGAAACGCACCCAAGGCTTTTTGGTAATGAAGAGAGAATCCAATGATCTGCTCACTATTGGACTCGGGCCGTTCCCAGGATACCAAGACGGCGGTGCTGGAGAGAGAACTCGCCGATACTCTCTTCGGAGGGCTAGGCAGACCTTCCCGCACAATCACCTCCAACTTGGCTGTAGCACAGGCCATGCCCAGGGGATTTTCAGCCACGCACTGGTAGTAGCCCGCATCATCCAAGCCAATCTGATTGATGACTAGGGTACCGCTGCCCTGGATTTTAACCCGTCCTTTAGGCAGAAGTCGCTTTCCATTCCTCGTCCAGTGGACGGTGGGCAGCGGCTCTCCTTCCGCTTTGCAGACAAACCTGGCAGTGCTGGCCCGGGTGCGAGAAATGGTGTCAGGTGCCTGGGAGATGGTAGGAGGAGCTAAGAGATTGAAACAGAACCCAGTGAGCATGGTGATTGATTGGAGACCCTTTTTTTTGTCAAAGCTGATAGATCATTGGCAGTTCTTTCCCTCCCATCCAGGACATAGCACAGAAGCATTGCTTGTGCAGGATCCATAAAATTATCTGGGACACTACACATCCTCTCCACAACCTCGGGTCTCAAACCCAGGCTGTCAGCTCTCCAGCTCACAACTCAGGGTCTTTAACTGCTGAATGTCTATGGAGATTTCTCAGTCATCCAGGTCTTGGTTGTCCCAAAGGTGTTTTTTCACAAGGCAACTGGACTTTCTTTTTTCTCTTTGAAGACGTTTTGCTTCTTGTCCAGGAAGCGTCTTCAGCCCCACCATCCAGTCAGAGCTGAAGAAGCTTCTTGGATGAGAAGCAAAATGTCTTCAAAGAGAAAAAAGAAAGTCCAGTTGGCTTGTAAAAATACACCTTTGGGACTTTAACTGCTGAACCATCACACATAAGAAGGACACGACAATCTAAATCCACTTCTCTTCCATCCTTCCTAAAAGATCTAGTGGTTGGAAGCTAGAGTTAACAAAAGAATAATCTGCTCTGCCGGACTGTTTGTGATGATCCCATTCTCCTTCTGAAGGCTCACAAGAACAACAAAGGCAACAAGAAATGTTCTGTTCTGTGTTCTCACCAAGGACTCGGAGCTCAGCTGCAGCTGTTACAAACTGTCTGGTTTGGGGTTTGTTGGCCCGGCATACATAGACTCCTGCGTGATGAAGCTGAACAGAAAGGATCACGAGGTTGGTCCGTCCTAACACAATCACATCTGTAGAAATGGGATTCCCATCTTTAAAGGAAAAGGAGACCATCAGAACTTTACTTGGGGTACCAAGTATAGGTGAAAAACAAGCAGAGCTGGGAGGGCGGAATTAAGCACGTCATAAGTTTAGAGTTGTTGCATTCCCAAAAGCACTTCAAAGTCTAACTCCTCCTGAATTTCATTGACCCCTATCTGGTGCCAATTTAGTCTTGAATTTTAGGTGACAAGATTCTTGAATAAATCTGCTGCAACCTTACACGTGGTCCTGATTCTTTGCATCTGGCACCAAGACCCCTAAAGTCTGAACATACTCAGCTTTGCTATAGATAACGCTGCCTGAACCATGTCTGTGTTTCGAATACTTCGACTCTACATACATCTTCTCCACCCACTTTAATTTCTATAAAGGTGCCCAGCCAACTTTGTGTAGGCATGCATTATTTGTTCTACTGGTAGGTAGGAGATCTAATGTAGGACTCTGCAAATATCTCCCCTGATTTTCTAAAGCAGAGATCCCCAACCTTTTGGGCACCAGGGACCGGTTCCGTGGAGAGAAGTTTTTCCACGGACCGGACAGTGCGTGGTTTTGTGTGCTGCCTGCCTCCCACGGATGGGGCTTTGCTTGTTTGTGCGGACTGGTTGCTGGCATGCTGCGGCCCGGTACTGGTCCATGGACCGGGGGTTTAAGTCAAAAAGGTCTTGGAACGGCCTCTTAGCATCAGAAGAGAAATTAACTTCATTTACCTTCCCGTATCCAAGAGATGAAAGGGGTGGGATTTGCCGATGCAACACACTCCATCACAACAGTCTCACCAACCACCACTGTGGCATTCTCTGGCGCAGTGACAATGACCACATCACCCATCGTTGGTTGTTGGGGACCTAGAGCAACAAAATTCAGATTTACTTTTTTTCCTCCCGTTCCCCCATACATATATTTCCATCAGAACGATTTCACCAAAGCATCATAGAAAAAAGAAACGTTTTCTTTTTTTTATATATATATAAATATTTTATTAATTTTCTATTTTTACAATCAAGTGCCTAATTAAACAAACGTGATGACTGAGTCCATTAGTAATTCCGTGGTACATGTAAGCTTCTTCAAACTTAATCCAATATTACACCCTTCAGTATATCCTCTGTAACAGACATTTTTCCCACACTAAGCAAATGCAATTCTTATTGTTGTAAGCAAACATACAATTGCCGATCAACATTTGTTATCTTTTTCTAAAGGTATCAATAATATCAGTTTACAATATCTTTCATCCAAAGCGTGTCTTAATTGCGTTCGCTGAGTCCAGTGTTCAAGGTTTGCATGAGAATGAAGATCTTAAGTAGCGATTAACACTCTTATAAAATCTACGTCACGTACAAATGCAAGAACTTCCTTCCACTGGGACAGTTTTCTGGTTTTGAACTTTAGTCCCAGGACGTTTATGAAATTCTCCAGGTGGTATCTCAAAGGTGCTTTTCTCTTCCCTCCACAAAAAACCCCAACTGGATTGTAGAAGGAGGAGAAGGAGGAGGAGGAGGGAGTAAACAAATACACATTTAATTCTCAGTTGTCCCCCACTAATTAAATCTCCCCCCTACCAATTTTCCATTGCTTAAATCCCAAATTAAATAGATTCATGCTTGCAAAATCCCTTCGAGATAAAATAAGATGGTTCATATACAAATCTGTGTTTCATTTCTTTCGCCATATTAGTCTGTCCTTGGGCTTGTCATCCTGTCTGGGGTTGTTCGCAGGGGGTCAAAAAAGTCAAAATGGCACCTACAAGCATAAGATCGAAGCCCCGCCTGTACTGCCTCTCTTGAAAGGCTGTCAAAACCAGCAGCATTTACAAAACATTTGCGTATCACGTCAACTGCTGCCTTCTCGCTTTCTGAGCAACCAGGAAAGGGGAAAAAAAAAATCACAGATGGATCTTTTTCTCTCTCTCCTCTCTTGAACAGCTGCTCAAAGCCTGAACCCATCCATCCCCCAGGGAGGTTATGGGGGGGGGGGTTGAAGGGGTGAAGGCAATTTCAACACAATTTCAAGCTTCTGTTCAGGAAAATGATGAGGAAGTTCACAGCTAAGTGCCAGGCCTACTTAGTTGTTTTGCCTCTTTTTTTCTCTCTGCCTTGTGAGCTGCTAAAAGTAGGGACTTAAGAGAGATCCATCTCTTTTTCAGCAACGTTGAGACCCAACTAAGATTGCTGAGAGCCAATCTGAATATGATGTGCCGTACACAGGGCTGTGGTGCACTGCAGGGCCTGGAATCCCAAACTAGGGCTGGAGAATCGGATGTGGTCCTTTCGTGTAAGGCTGGGTTAAAGAGAAAATATCTTCTTCTGTATCAGAAGGAGTCTGGAAGCATCTTTTCTGACTCCCAATTTTTGTTTCTGAATTAAATTTATAGCACTACCGCTACCATTCAGACTTACATGTATAACACGCCACGGTGCTTTACCACACTTCTGAGTGGTTTATGTCAGCATCTTACCCTCAACAATCTGGGGTCCTCATTTTACCGACCTAGGAAGGAAGGAAGGAAGGAAGGAAGGAAGGAAGGAAGGAAGGAAGGAAGGAAGGAAGGAAGGAAGGAAGGAAGGAAGGAAGGCTGAATCAACCTTGAGTCCCAGCAGGATCAAACTCCAGACTGTGGGTAGAGTTCGCTGCATTCTAACCACTGTGCTACAGGGGATCCATTTGTGAGCCTTTGGGCGTTCTATCATCCAGCTTTGGTCACCACAATATAAAAAAGTTATTGAGGCTCTAGAAGGGAGTGCAGAGAACAGCAACAAAGATGATTATGGGACTAGAGGCTAAAACCAGTGGTGGGATTCAGCCGGTTCGCACCACTTCGGAAGAACCGGTAGCTAATTTTTTGTTGCCCAGGCCCAGAATGGACTTCCAGAAATGGCATCCACCCAGAGAACCGGTTGTTCACCTATTTGAATCCCACCACTGGCTAAAACATGTTGAGAATGGTTGCAAGAATTGGATATGTTTAGTTTAATGAAAAGAAGGACTAGAGGTGACAGGATAGCAGTGTTCCAATATCTAAGGGGCTACAACTAAGAAGAGGGGGTCAACCTATTCCTGAAAGCACCTGAAAGCAGAACAAGAAGCAACAGATGGAAACTCATCAAAGAGAAAACCATTCTAAAGATAAGTAGAAATTTCCTGACAGTGAGAGCAATTAATCAATGGAATGGCTTGCCTCTGGAAGTTGTGGATGCTCCATTGCTGGAGGTTTTTAAGAACGGATTGGACAATCATTTGTCTGATATGGTCAGTGCTTTTTTTGTAAAAAAAAAAAAAAGGTGCCGGAACTCACACACGTCATACAACCTGCCTTGGCTACCCTACAAGGTTCCATCCAAAAAAGGTGCCGGAACTCCGTTCTGGGCGTTCTATGAGAAAAAAAGCCCTGGATATGGTATAGGGTCTCCTGCTTGAGCAGGGGGTTGGACTAGAAGACCTCCAAGGACCCTTCCAACTCTGTCATTCTGATATCTTCTGATGGCATGTCATGGGAGCTCTGACAAATGTCCATCATGGGGTCATTTCATCAGATCTCTCATGATATATTGGAGCACTCCTCAAATATTGGAACAATATCCCCTGCTCAAGCAGGAGACACTACCTCAACAGTGGGTAACCTTTGGTCAGGAACCCAACTGGTGAAGCTCTTCCTCATTCTTCCTTTTAAGCAATTGAGGGCAGATGGGCACACACCACTGGCATGCAGGCTCTCCCTGTTTTTATTTCTTCGGGGGCTTCTGGAAACAAACAATAAGATTTTAAAAGAATCTGTACCAAAACAATGCATGTTATATTCTACTTAAAATACGAACACACCATATTTCCATCAAAACCTCCATGCAGCGCTTGACAAATTGAATTCCGGCACCAGATTGGATTTGGCAAATTAAATAACTCTGTGTAATTTCTCTTGCCCTTAATTCATTCCATAATATTGATTTTTATGAAATGACTCTCCTTCTGCTAATGGAAGAGGTTAATGGGATGTACAAAGGGAAACGCCTTCAGCTGAAACCCATCAAAGTCACCCCAAACTAAAGGACTGAAAATGTTGACCTCAATTTCTCCAGAGGGCAGAAGTAAGATGATAAACTGACTTGCAAATTGAAGAAGCCTTCTTTGGCTGGCTACGGTCGGCTTCTGGAATGTCTACAGGCATAGCTGACATATTTCTCAGTGTAGCTTCAAAGACACAAAGACTCTAAACCTGAGGCCGGTGGAGAACTTGGATGGGAGGTTTCATGGGTCCTACCTTGATGTTCAGGTGAGGAACATTGTCTGACCAGGGTTACTCTGTCACCAACCCTTGATCACGACTTGTCCATTTCTTCCCAGGTTTGGAGAAAACATCTCTTTCCAAAGGCCCCTCCTTGTCTTATTCTACTTCGGAATGCAGCTTCCCCCAAAATGTCTGGAACTTAATATGGAGAAGTCTGCCCAGCCTTTGTACATCTGCCCTGTGAGTAACAACTGCTGAAGTCCTTGCTACCAGGAAGGCAGAAAACATCACAACATGACCTTTTCAACCTCAACTTTAAAATAGCATTTAATCCAAGAGAGAGAAAAAGCACCCATAGAAGCAAAACAAAGTTTTTTTTAAACATATGAAGAACAGTTGCGGGAATTGCGTGTGCCTAATCTAGTGAAAAGAAGGACTAGGGGTGACATGACAGCACTGTTCCAATATTTGAGGGGCTGCCACAAAGAAAAAAAAGGGGGGAACTATTCTCCAAAGCATCTGAAGGCAGAACAAGAAGCAATGGATGGAAACTAATCACGGAGAGAATCAACCTAGAACTAAGGAGAATTCCATCAGCTGCCCTTGGCCACCCCTGATGGCTTTGGAAAGTAGACAGCCAGCAAGCAGCTTAGCCACCTGCTGGAGATGTCAAGATGTCAACCGTTTTCGAGGTCCCAAACTTTAAAAAGACAGCCAGACAAGAAAAGCAGCCAAATCAAGCATTCATCATGCACAGATGTGTCTTCTCATCCATATTCTGTCTGCTTTGGCACCGAAGGACTGAGGCTGGGAGAGCAAAATGTGAGAAACACATTTTCCTCCCGAGGGCTTGGTGACAGTTTAAAACTGCAGTTGTCAATTAATGCTTTAGGAAACAGAAAAACATGGGTTCGCTGTCATTTCCTTGGCACGTATTTTTACCAATGGATTTTTTTTT